CCCCCCCCCCCCCCCCAACCTCTTTCTGGGAATGAGACATGACGTGAGGGACGTTTATTTCTAACACCTTGGATCCGAGAAGTTGGGGTGGGCTCTTACCGCCAACCTACCCCAATTTTGATTGGTTTAACACATCGACAATTAGAGAAAGTCGGGGCTGGTGCACTGGTTTTGAAATCAGAGACAAAGTGGCGTGATGAGAGAAGGTTTTGGCTCAGTTCAGGTCACGATCACTTGTGGTTATTTTAATATAATATGCGCGAGCTGAGGACAGGTGCGTGTGGGTATGTGTGTGTTTATGCCTATTATGTCTTCTTCTGGCCTGTTAAGTCTATTCAGCCCTTAATAGGAGTTCCACAGAGTTTGAGTGTGTTTTCAAAAATATTAATGCTGATAAATATGCAGATTTAAGTCAGTTGGTTAATGTATGGATTGATTTTGCTGGGCTGTTTAAACTGTTATTCATTCTCCAAAATATATATATACACAGATGTCTTTGGGAAATTGACAAGTTTTAACCTCATTTTTTAACAATTTACATTTTTAGATGGTTGATTTTGTTCTGATTTGATAAGTATGTGTTGCAAGTTCAGTGTCTGTGTGTGGTGCATATGAAATTAATTATCACTGCTCAATCCAGGATATAATTGTATGACTATATAACAATATTTGAGTGGTATCTAAAGGGAGAAACACATGTGTTTGTCTCTCAGACACATTTGGTACTCTGCCACCCCTCCCTTCTCCATCGTCTCCTGTCCTGCCATGAACCCCTCTGCCCACTCTGGCGCCACCACCAAAACAGGCAACTTTGCGTGTTAAGGGACAAATCCTCTGAAAAATGCTTTTACATACAGCAACAGGCAATTGTTGGTCCTGTCTTCCTGTGTGAATTTTGCTGTTTGGTGGAAACAGTCCATGTAGCAGTTTCTCCATTGACAGTAGCTTTAGTAAAACAGATTTTATGCAACCAAATGGATGCTGTGTATGAGTTTTCTTCATTTAAAATTATAAAGGGAAAAGACAGTTCTAATTGCAAAGGGAAACTTTTTAGAAAGCATTCTGGGAAATGTAGGAATGATCTAAATGAAGCAGATATATCTGAGGGAGGATGAGAAAGATAGGGTATTACACTTCTTAACTTCAGTAAGATTTATAAACACACTGAACATCATGGATCAACAATGCATTTGAAAATGATTAACACATGTTGACATGAGTTTTAAAAAAAATCAAGAGCTTAGTATCTCACTGAAAACAGAAATTAAAGAAGCAAGTAAACTGACAAAGTTTTACCACATGAAAATACGAGAACAAACACAATTTTAAAGGTAAGTGTGAGCTTGCCTTACAAACTCTTTAATAGCAAACAACTAAAGTAAACTTTTAAAGGATATCAGATAGTTTAAGTTACTGGTTGACATTTAAATGAACCTTTGTAATTAAATTAAAGAAACCTCATGCTTTCTTTGTGAGAACTGTAAACAGCCTTCTTGAAAACACCTCTTCTAATGTTCCTGTTTGTGCTGAGCATAAGATGCTAGCATGTGTATTGACACTGTGTATACGTGTGTGTGTGTATGTGTGAGAGTGACTCATGCTGTAGCTGGTCCAGCGTGCTACCCTCTCCTCTATTGTTCCAGCGTTGGGATGGCTGGCCTGACTCCCACCACAAACACAATGAGAGGGAGAATTTAGCAGGGCAATCGGGACTATTGATGATTCATATGTTTATATCTTACCTTCCTAACTCTACTCCCTTTTCACCACACCGCCCCGCCCCCCCTCCTTTCCTCTCTACACCCTTTAATAAAGAGGATGTGTGTCTGGTGTTGGGACAACGAGCACTTTTGTGCGCCTTGTCAACACACAACACACAGAGGTTGATGAAGTGACGGAAATGACCACGTCTGAAAAGACTTTTAAGTAATCCAACACATAAAGGCTGCTACAGTTCAGCCATACTACAGTAAAGAGAGAAAATATACCTGTCATATAGTATGTGTGTTTTGCTGGAGTCTTTTCTCCTGTATCCCTTTACCCTTTTGCCACATGTGCTATCACTTGTTCAGGTAGCAATTTGCTCCAGAAAAGAGCTATAATTTTGTTGAATTCAATCAAGACGTGGACATAATGGACAGGTAGATTACT